TCGAATTAATTTGATGGCCTGCTCCCAGTTGGCTTGTTAGCTCAATTGGTAGAGCGCTGCACTAGTATCGCAGAGGTCAGTGGTTCGAATCCCGTACAGGCCTGAAATTTTTTTTTTTTCAGGTCTGATTTTCACTATTGCTCAAATAGTGCTTTACTGCGAAGGATCGTTCTCATATACGTCTCATAACCGCAGTTCACACATATGTTTCATATGTTTGTTGTTGTTTGATTTATCATCTACGGGTTTATGCCGAATTAATTTGATGGCCTGCTCCCAGTTGGCTTGTTAGCTCAATTGGTAGAGCGCTGCACTAGTATCGCAGAGGTCAGTGGTTCGAATCCCGTACAGGCCTGAAATTTTTTTCAGGTCTGATTTTCACTATTGCTCAAATAGTGCTTTACTGCGAAGGATCGTTCTCATATACGTCTCATAACCGCAGTTCACACATATGTTTCATATGTTTGTTGTTGTTTAATAGCATAGTATGATGCTTTCAAGTCTTGCGTGCCGCCGAACAACGTGTTTTGCAGTTGCAACTAATCTACGGTACAGGCGCACAAGGTGAGAGTGAAAAGCGAGTGCTTACAGAAAGTTTTACACAATTGTGATTACCTCCTGGCGCCTGCAAAATGCGCGTCCTATCAATTTAATGATAATCTAGCTTGCACTTCTGAAATTTCCGGTTTTCACCGTCGCACAATCATCAAAACCATTTAACAAAGAAAGCCACGAATCAAAGTGATAATCAAAGGAAACTGTGAAGAAGTCATGGGTACATTGCGTTTGAATGAGATATGAAGATAATTAAATTCCAATGGGTGGCTCCCGGATACAGCTGAAACTACTTAGTATCACTTTGAACTGCTGGCGAGGAATATTCCACAATGATGTAAATGATGGCGAAAGATTATCGCGGAAAAGCGATTGTATTAAGCGTTTAATTTTCACTCATAGTTACACCTTTAGTCTTTCAAAAGCTAACTGCGACGAGTATTTTAATTAAAATCGAAACTACTTCGGAGAAAGGTCTAGTTAAATTTTAACGTCGCAACAATAATTCAGAAATGTGATAGAGGCGTTCCCGTATAATTTCGGAAGGTCGTTATCAATATTGATCTGCCGTCGACATATCGATTTGTTTACATCTGAGTGAGTGACACATTTGCATACTCTGCCCCATTCTAATAGTCGTTTGTACGCTTCGCGTACCCACGACTAAAAAAAGAAGATGAATATTCAACCAGTCTCGCAAAGATTCAGGACTGTGCAATTTTTTCGTGTGAGAGATATTCGAAGAAAAGTTTTACTCGAATCCGTCAGGTTTTGTATGAAAATGCAATATTTGTGTCCCTCGGAGGGGCACAAATATAGCGGCCGGAAGCTAACAAAAGCATGTCATCGAGTTTGGTCGTCACTTTCTGAGGGCTCACAAACATCTATTTGAGTAGTTATTCTCATACAAGGGCTGTTCTGATCGCGAAATCTCAGTGGATAAGCCACTCTTTTTGACCTATGTGAAAGCATTCGCGGCAGTCATTTTATCATTGTGTCACGCAAAAGTTTAGAAATTCAACCTTGTTTATCACAAGACGAAAAACCCTATTAAACTGAAAACTTGTGAAAAGATAATTCTTCAGCTGTTCTGATAACGAGCTAAACTAAACTCTCAAAAAGATGATAATTCCTTATTTTTTAATTTTCATGAAGTCACGTGGAAACCAAGATTACTTTTATGAAACCATATCACCACCATCCAGCCTGTGTTTTTGAGCCGAAAAATTTAAAAAGAATTAAATGTGATGGAATCAAAGCCACCAATTGTAAATCAGCAGTGTGCTGTTTACGGTTTTCAATGTGACCTGTGTGATTTGAGTTATGTAGGATCATGTAGGTTACACGCGCTTACGTTTACATAATCGTGTAAAAGGACATAAACAACAATCCTCCTCCGTTGCCACACACATGCACGGGACAATGCCCCAGGGCCTGCTAAAGCGTTTCGAAGTGCTTAAGAAATGCAGGAACAAATTTGACTGCTTCGTGTACGAAATGCTTTTTATAAGAGCGTTAAGGCCAAATCTCAAAGTGCAATCAGACCCCATTCGTGCGAAAGCATTTTTATAATCTTCGCACCCTCTTATGCTAATTCTTCGCGCCAAAAACGCTTTATATGTTGCAATTTGCATGATATTTTTAATATTTTCCTTGATAATGGAGTCATGACTACTCCGAAACGTCGTACATTATCGTTCGTTTTTAGAGTTTTATGTCTTAAGAAATCTCTTTTGATACAAACCATATCGGGGCTTCGAATTCCACTGTAATGTACAGTTACAAACAATAACTTATTTGATACAATGTATATATGAAGATCAAATAACTTATTTGGTCACACGGTTGATTTCATAAACGGAGCGTGACATTATAATTAATAATTGGTTCATGCTTCAGCGTGCACTATCTAGTTATGGAGCACGTGGGAAGTTTAGAGAGCACGAAAGAAGCGTAAGAGTTGCCCGAGGCAATAGTCGAGGGCAACTCTAGCTTCTTGAGTGCTCTCCAAACTTCCCACGTCCTCCATTACTTGTTAGTGCACAGCCACATAGCCGGTGGAATTGTACATCAAATCCGACGCGAAAAACGGAAAACAATATCAGAAGTGATTGTTCGCGGTAAGCGAGATATTAAGCAAAATAGGAATTGGTTTTATTTCAAATTTTCTGTTGAAAGCTCGAGCTTTATTTTACTGCAGTTTAAATACAAAATTCTTTATTTTTAAAGAAGAAATCACGCTCAAGAATGGCACTTTTATTTAAAAAAATTTCTGGCGAAGCGATTTGCTCACGCTATCAGCGTGCATATCGGGATTTTGAGTACGGTTATGGTTACCGAATTTGATTGGGCGGCTCTGCAAGCTATGTTAATTATTAGCTATGTTATAAACGTGTTTGGCATCTTTTCAACGCCAAAGCGAAACTTTCTTTTCTTCTCACAAAGCTCTTACTGTCAATGATTTTCACTGTTTACTGCTCTGAAAGGTTTCTTTCCTCGAAACAGATCGTTCTAATGCATATCATGGTGTTTTGCCATCAGAGAACGAGATCGTTTTTAAATAATTTCCGTTTATACAAATGAAAATCGTCTTAACTTATACGAAGCGGCGTTTGGTCTCGGCCGGAGGTCTCAGACTTTCAAGCGCATGGCACGTTTGCAAAATTTACGTCTGTAGTCTGGCCCCCTTCCGCTGAAGGATTTACAACAACGCATTTACGAATTTTAACCATATATAAATGTAATTATTTCTTAAAAGGAAAGGCGTGCCAAATTCATTTCCTTCTTCCCTTCTTTCCGGGTTCACCATGCACTATGAAAAACTAGACTTCTGTCTGCAAATAAGACCCTTCCAAAGATGAACAGAAATTCAACTGGAAAACTACGTTAAAGGAGAGAAAGAGTTTTAATTAGTTACCTGTCGAAAGCTACAAAAAGTACCAAAACAAATTATCATGTCGCAAGAGTATTGGCATTTATGTGAGCATGCGATGAAAACGGAAATTTTCCATCCGAAGATGAGCGTATAAGATTTGAAATTCATTCAAGCTGAGAAGGCGGTTTCCCTGTAATCCCCCTCTGTTTCCATTACATTTCGTTTGCAGCTGCGCTGCTAGAACTTACCAAGAAACAACCAGCTACGTACGATCGCTTCTGACATTCGATAACAAACGTTGCAAATTCTTATGGAAAGTAAAGATACATACAAAGCCGAAGAGGCCGATGAGCAGAATGCCTGTGCGCAGGTCACATCCACAACAGCAAGTCCGCACAAGAATCGCCATAGCTTGAGCCTACTCGTTGCTTTGTAGACGTGATGTGAAGAAATGGGGAGTCAAGACACTAATGGCTATTCACTGTTCTTTATCAGGGCGTTGTAATTCCTGAGCTTGGAAAAGGAAGTCAACGTCAATCAAAACGTATACCGGCCAATCGGAGTTGAGAGCACGTTTGATCTCTTTGCACTCTGCTTCATCATCTTTTCAATTGAATATGCAAAGACGGAAGCACGCCACTTGGGCTTCGAAAACAGAATTAACGGAAGAGAATTTAGAGCAGTTTGAAGATAATGAAACGGCATGACTTCCACTGAATGGTCAATAAACAGACGATGCTTATAATGTTTATCTCGTCCTTAACGGTTGCGCCACTCTCATTCGATAAACATAGAGCAAAACAATAAGCAACAGCTGATGAGCGATCATTTAATATGTTGACTCATTGGGTAGCCAAACTGTCTTGCAGGATAAGATTATTTTTTTTTCCGCGTTTTTTTTTCCAGCAGAATGCAAGCAAGCGTGAAGAGCGGCGATTTCTGCTCTTCCTCGTGGCTCGTAATTCGCGCCTAGCTTTTCAGATCGGCTTCGAAAAACGCAAAAAAGTAAGTGAATACAACACATGAGTTAATTAGATCTGTATGTCTTGTATGCTTATTGATAATCGCTCCTAGAAAGTCCTACTTAACCCTTTAATCCTTTTAGTGACTAGCATCTAATATCTTCTTACAATAACACCCCTGAATCACACAATAAGGTCGGGAGAATGAAGGAAATGATCACCAACTACAGAAGCTTTTGCTCGCAAGTTAAACAAATCCTCCTTGTCAGCACCTTAGGAAATGTATAGAGAACAGTATGGAGAATATGCATACTGATGTTAGGTTGTGAAGAATTCATAAGAATCTTTGATTGATATAATGCAATGCAAACATGCACGCTTTATGCGAAAAACCTTTGCGAGAAGCAGTTTTGGTTTAAAAATAGCGGCTACTCGTCGGCTATAATGAAATAGAGGAGGATAATTTGAAACGAGCTTGGGATAAAGAAACTTAGTAACTTAGAGAATTTCCAGGCTGAATTTATCGTCTTAAAGACTTTTGCATTGACGTACATCCTGAAGTATATTTTTACCTTGTAAATTTCTCTACTTCCGTATTTTAGCTTTCCAACTCTTGAGGAAAAGACGTGCAATAATAAGTTATCTCGAAAGTTACTTTTAAAACTAACTTTAAAAAGCATCATGCCCTATCTGTTTTGTTCAGGCGAAACAATACATCGCCAGCAGTAATCAGCAATTCTTAAGTTACGGCCTTGACGTTACTCCCAACCCAAAGACGTCACAGGAACCTTGGCGGGTGCTAAGAACCATCAACTTGCCACGCTATCGTAGATGTCTGCCTTGATCCTTAATGCGGTATCACAGTAGTTTTGTCGGGTACTGTGAATGCGGAAGAACTTCTTTTGTCAACTTGCGCCGTCACGTGTGGTAATGCATATTGGAAAAGATATCCTAAGCCATCTTGTGACGTCATAGAACTGATTGTTGCGGCGAGTAGGGGGGGAGGGTATCTTACGTCAGCTCTAAACGTCACTGGGGTCTCGCATGGTGTCATATATTGGAAAAGATATTCCTTTAAAATTTTAGCAAAAGAAAAGAATTCCGGGTAGTTATATGAACTTCATTTGGGCCGTGCTTTCGAGTCCCACCTCCGAGTCTACCCAAACGCAGGATCCTAGTAAACTAAAGATAGACTTGCCTGTGAAAATACCGTGACATAAACAAAGGGCAGTTGAACACTACAAGTAACGAGCTCCTGGCCTTTCGACTGTAGTAAATCGAGAGGTCGAAGCGCGCAAAGGAAGGAAAAGTTGTTAATTCTTTCTGGGCTCCGCATTTTTTTTTTTCGGATAATGGCTTTAATATGATGCTTTCAACTCTTGCATGCCTCCAGACAACGTCAATTGCAGTTGCAACTTACAGAAACTTTCTGTTCACACATGTGCGTTCTGTCGATAAAGAACAATTTTGGTCGCACTTCTCAAATACCTCTTACGAAACTATTTCGGGGTTTCGAATTTTAGTGTAATATAACGTAAAAAATTTTTGGCCTACGGTGGGATGTCAGTTCGCCACCAGGAAAAATCTCGATGATCAAAACAATAACTTATTTGGTCATTGGGTTGATCTCATAAACGGAGCGTAACATTATAAGAGGGTCTGGATGGGAGGGGCACGAATGTCAGTTGTCAGTTAAATTTTCGGCCATTTGTCAATTGTCAGTTAAATGACTGTTAATGATTAACTTGGCAAGTTAACTATTACTTTCCGACCCTATAATTTTGGCTGAAAAGAACATATAACGTAAACTCGAAAATTTAGTCGATGACTGATACAATAAGAACTGCTTTTTCTTAGTTCTGGAATAAAATAAGATTTTTCAAATGACTTTCAGTCATTGTTTAAGTCAGTTACGACTCTTCTGAACACAAACTTCTGTTTTCCCGTGCGCAAAATTCCTTGCAACCACTTAACGGGTCAAAATTTTGGAAAGAAGGTCATCAGAAAGAAAAAAAACTTGTGAAAAGTCCTCTAGCACAATATATTGGATTTATGTTTTGTTTTACAAAGCTTCGATTGCGGTTGGCTCCAATGAAATGATCGGAAAGGAACGTTCTTTTGTCTAGTTTCAAACTAGGTTATTAGAGAAAGCGTACCTTAGAAATCCAGGCGAAAATGAGCGCAAACTGGCCGCCCAGATCTAGAAACCGTAATTGGGGCAATATCTTCATCCTCTTGGTCAGAAAAGTCGTTTTCTGAGTCCGTGTCATATTCGTCTGCATTTGTTCGCACCTCAGCAACTGGCACTTCAACGATACAGTCGTCAACAAATGTGATATCTGTCACATTCCCACCTTTCAAAGTAGCTTGAACAGCTCCTTTGTCGTTGCTGAACCCTACTGACTGATCTCCCGAGTTAAAATCGTTACCTAGTGATTTTGATTTGATTTGATTTGATTCGCCGACAAGCAGGGACACCGCAACAGCTTGCGCCAATCACTGCAGGCCCAGTAAACCCACCCATCCCACCCAGGGGAGGACATCCATCAAACAGTAATCTCGTGTGTGGGAAATTAACGTCTCCTTCCCCAACCCTGCAGGAGACGGGACCTCCATTTATTCGTCCCTATCCGAGAAGACTAGAATATCTAACCATTTCTGAGGGACAGGATAGTGGGATTTTTCATGGGTAAAATACTTGGCTGCCCATTTCGGTACTCTCTTCAACGACTCCTTGGTAATTAATCCAAAGTCTTGGTAATACTCTAATGCAGGGAAGGTCTCATCCTTAAAACGACACAGTACCACTTCTAAGACTTCCAAGAACGACAAAGTACGACACAGTACGACACAGTACAACTGAGTCACGACGCTAGTTTAATGCAACCTGTAGCCACATCCGATATGAATAGAGTCTTCTCCATAGAACAGATGCTACGAACTTGCGTAAAAGAACACGTTTCATCCGCTCCTTCACTTGCTACTTCCTGACCAGAGCCCATCAAGGTTTTAACGTTTTTCTCAGAAGGACTGAGGAACTTTACCTTTCGATCCCCGGAGTCAGTGAACGCCATGCCGTCTTCAAATTCACAGTCTTTTGATTTCTCTACAAGACTCCGAGTTGTTCTTTAGAAGTTGGTCAACTTCTAAGCTTGGAAGGTCACAAACGTAAAGGCCACCGTCTAGACCGACTGCTGCAAAGTAAGCTCTTTGTTTGAGAACTTCATAGATATGATGTTCAAAATGCCAGTCGAGTCGATCACGAGTCTGACTCCGGTACCAGCAATGCCAACTCCATTGTTATGTAATGTCACTTGTATAATTCCTCTCTGGGCATCGTCTGCACACAACAGAATGTTTTCACTTGCAGCACAGATTTAAGTTGGCTTTTCTAAAGAAGGGTGAACCTGGACAAGCTTCGAGTTTCCGAATTCAAAGGCTTCGAGTTTCCAAATTCATCACTTAAGATATCAAGGAGGTGATAAGAACAAAATGGTATATCTCTGCGATTATTACTGTGAAGCCATGAGGTGCGTAACAAATGCTGCACAATGTAATTCGAACCAGCCAAGAATCTCTCTAAAATCACAGGAAAACAGAATATGCCCAGCAGACAAACATCACGAAATAGGACCAGTCAGTCGCATCACTGTGACTCTATAAGATTTAACTTTTCACAGTCACTTTAGCTATGTCATTATAATCTGCATAAAACATAATCAACATGAATTCAAGAATGAAAAAATTCTGACGGCGCTTATAAGTCGGCATCTAATGGGCGTTTTATAATAAAGAGTAGGCTATTAACTGATATATTTATACTAATACCAAATACCAAACCACTCCAATACATACTATTTAATTCGTTTCCGTTCCAGCCAGCATGGTCGGAAGCTCCAAATTCCATTGCTCGTCCGTAGTTAACGCAAAATTATCGCTTTTGCCGCCTGATTTCGGAGCCATGTGATAAAGTTTTACATCAAAATCTCCGAGGCCATATTCACAAGACAACTTCTTTAGACCAAGGAACAAAGTAAGGTGCTTTTTCAGCGCCAGTACGGTTTTAACATCTTTGATAGGAATGCGGCATTTGTGACGCTCAAATGCCTTTTCCGACTCAATTGGGTAAAAGCTTACAACAGCTCTTAAAATACCAGCATTCACTGCCAACGTGTATGGGTATCAAAGATCATATAACTGATATGTGACACATGACCTTGATGTGGATGGCACATGCGGTAATTATTAACGAAATAGGACACTCTGGCGTACTCCTACTGATATGTAATGGAAAATGTACTTTCATTGAACAAAATAAATCAGCTGTCCTTATTTTACATCCAGTCTTTAGGATATTTAGGGCGATCCGGGATTTTGTCAGTTGTCAGTAAAAGCTCACCACAAATGTCATTTGTTAGTTCGTTTTTCAGCGATATGTCAGTTGTCAGTTAAAATTTTGGCCATTTGTCAGTTGTCAATTAACCCCATCCAGACCCTCTTATAAACGTGTTTGGCATCTTTTCAACACCAGAGGGCAACTTTCTTGTCTTCTTGCAAAGATCTCATGGTCAATAGTTTTTGTTGCTTTCTGCTCTCAAATTTAACTGAAGGTTTGATTCCTCGAAACAGATCGGTCTAATGCATATCATGGTGTTTTGCTATAAGTGTGAGAGATCAATTTTAAATAATTACCGTTTTAACTAAAATAAACCGAATAATAAACCGTCTTCACTAAAATAAACTGGCGTTAATTTGGTTTCGGCAAAGGGTCTCATCAGATATCCTAAGGGATTTTCAAGCAAACTCGTCGTGCATTGCGTTTAAGCCCCTTTCGCAAATGTATCCATGCCAAATTTATTTCCTTCCTCCCTTATTTCTGGGTGCGTTATGCACTATGACAAACGAGATTTTTGTCTCTGCGAATAAGACATTTCTTGATGTTATAGAAAGGTAGCACATTCTCCTCAGTTATTTTAAGGCCTTGAGTGTTGGTCCGGCCGGGACTTGAACCCTCGACCTCCCACACAACAGTCCGACGCTCAACCAATTGAGCTAACCGGAGGCAGTTAAAAGTAAAGGGAAGTTTGCAGTGATTAGTTCTTTTGAAATAAATTGAGATCTTTTGGATGTTTTGCACAGTGAGGTCTATAACATCCACAGCATTCTACAAACAAATCAGTCGCTTTACCAACTAAGTCGCCATCAGTAACAATACATAAGCTTTTGGTAACATAATTTGGGGCTATTAACATTGATGTTATTCTTCCAAGCCACATATAGAGTCCTAACATTCATCAGTCAGTATCCTAAATTGACTACCGTATTCTAGCCTTCTAACTCTTTAGGAAACGCCGTGCAATAAGTTGTCTCCAACGCTACTTTTGAAACTAACTAAAAAGAGCATCGTGCCCTATTTATTTTGTCCAGGTGAAACAAAACATCACCAGCGGCCGTGACGTCAAGCAAGACCCAAAGATGTCACAGAAACCTCGGTGAGTGCTGAGAACTTTCACCGTGTACTTTCGCCTTGATCCTTAAGTAAGTATAATGTGACGTCACACTAGCTTTGTCTGGTACTGCGCATGCAGAGGGATTTTTTAGTCAGCTTGTGTTGTCTCTTGTGGCAATGCGTATTGGGAAGTATATCCTAATCCAGAATTCCATTTCATATCTTGAGCTGAGGGTTCTTTACGAAGGAGCGCAATATATGCACAAACAACGAAGATGAAAAATATCTTAAAAAAAGAAAATGTACGTTAATTAACAGGCAGCCTGCCTATTGATTAAGGTTGTTCCCGAAGTGAGATTCAACGGTTGGATTTTACTTCTAGAACAATCTTGATATAGTGTGGCTACGATATTACCTACTTCAGATATCTCAGACTCTCCACTAACTTCAGGAGTGGATTTATTATTTTCCCTACCTAATGTCCATTTAATTAAGAGTTACTCCTCGGCAATTTTTCAGTTTTCCTTGATAGAGTTTTTGGTTAATTTTCCATAAGATCGATTCTCCTGGGTTAAAATAGGGGAAGGATGTCTTCTATAGGACTATAGGAGTAAGATGTGTTCCCATGTTTGATTTCCAGTTAAATGGATAGCTTAAATGTGGAATATCTCGCATCCTTTACATAAGAAATTGCGACATAAGGTTTGTACGTGAATGAAGTAGCGACTAAACGTACCTTTATCACACTCCAGGCGAGTATCCCAACCAAGTAACGGTGTTGCTGATATGAGGAAAAGAAGAAAAAAATAACATGTGTTAGAAGATTCTTCAGTTGTTTTTCTTTAAGTATGACAGGCATTGCATTTGGTTAACATTTTTACCCACCAGTTTCCATTCAGAAATGCAGAATAACAGAAGTGTCAACATGAAGAGAACGTCGATGATACCCCACGCAAGCCAGGTTATTGCCATGTATTGGTTCTTCTGTGTGAATAAGAATAAGGCCGCAACAGAAGCAAGCTATTAGTTTTGAATGTGAAATAATGTCAGAAATACCCTAGAAAATGTAGTTGAAACGACGCAATCCACTTAAGGAACGGGACAAACGTACTTCATTACTTAAATAAGATGTTAATTCATCAGAATTAAATGTATCAAAATTTGTCTGTCGGACTTACCAAGACAAAGGATATCACCAGTAACAAGTTGACCAACAATGTGATTGCTTTGAAAGTGATGTAGGTTTGGCTCAATTTATAGAACGCTATTAGGTAGACGAAAAAAAAAGGTAAGCCAGAACTCAGTGAAGAAGAAAAAAAACTTCATATACATACATACATACATACATACATACATACATACATACATAGATATGTTACTTGATGACCACTCCCCATAAGGGCTTTTCAGGGCCAACAGCCACCCATCCCACCCAGGGGAGGACATCCACCATACAGTAATCTCGTGCGTGGGAAATTAACGTCTCCTACCCCTAACCCTGCAGGAGACGAAGCCTACGGTTTATTCGTCCTTATTCGAGAAGACTAGCATATCTATTCATTTCTTTTTATAGAAAGGTAACAAATTCTCCTCAGTTATTTTAAGACCATGATTATTGGTCCGGCCAATACTAACAACAAACATAAAAAAACATAAAAAAGCAAAATAAAACAACGAAAAAACGAAAAATATATGTCTGAATTGGCCTCAGTGATCGCGAGAGTTTTTGTGAAGGATATGGTAAATATATTTCAGGTGGACTTTGGAGTGTGTAAACCAAAACTTAGCAAGATTTTTAAAAAGAAATGCAAGTTTCCATATTCGTTGGGGAAGTACATTGTGTGAGCTTTGAAAATCGTACTCGTGATTATTTATTCCAATTCAAACCACACCCCAAATCATTTAAAACTAGTGAAAAGTGTAGGTAGCAACTGATTTCAAAGCTGTAAAAATATTTAGATTAATGTGAACACGTGGGCTAGCAGTTCCCCATGCAATGTTTTTGTGAATGTTTGGAAGATTTGTTCAAAACCTCCGGCAAATTGAAACCTAAATTTAGTCATGTATTGTATCGAATCATAATCGCGATGAACTATATTATAGAACGCTTTGGCTCACGTCGTTTAATCTTGTTTTAGAACAAAAATGAGGTCGATATGCGTAATTTTAAAACGGTTTTGATAAATTCAAAGAAGTGGAAAAATAAATGAAAATACCTTCAAAGGGATCTGTAATGTAAGGAGAATCTTTGGCGTGGATTTCTTCCTTGAGCCATTTAACAAATTGAAGTTGATAGCAAATTGAAAATATTGATACGCCCTGAAATGGAAAAACCGGTATGTATGTATGAAAAGTTGTAAATACTACAGTCGTATTATATTACGGTAACCCAATCTCGAAGGATTACTTTTCAAAAATACCCTGTATATATTTCTCTACTTGGGCCTGATAGAGCTGACCAACGAAATGTATTGACAACGCGGGCTCAAGCGTGCGAGGTTTAAAATTTAGCGAAATTTGCAAAATCAACATGGAGCTGGCAATTTAAACCAAGACACTAGTGTTGTCGTCGAAGGCGTTTTCTTATTTCCAACGTTTTTAAGGAGAAAATCAATTTTCGAAAATATTCTAGGGGGCGTACAAAGTTTTTGGAAGTTGTTCCGTAAATGAAAAGCGGCAAGGAAAACAACGCCTCGATGCAACAGAATGGAAATCAACCATGCGAACGACTCAAGATCCGTTTTTCCGCGCCAAAACCTAGCGCGTGCACATATATTATTCAGCTTTGTCTTTGAGCTTCAGTTTAGAAACGTCCAAAGTTTCATAACGCAAGTGCGGACGTGGTTCGCGGAAGTTCCACTTTTGTCACAATCCTGGTTGCAATCACAGAATGAAAGAAACATCTGGAATGAAATGACATCATTACTCAAAGGAAAAGCGACGTGAGTTTTGGAGCGTAAATTTGAAGAAATAACGCTAGTTAATTCCGGTTCGCGCAAGCTGTCAACATTACTCTTTAAGTTCTCCTCGAAACGAAATATATTATTTTTATGTGTTTAATCTATTTATCGCCTCTTCATCTCTAAATTTCCTTTTATTTTTCTCACTTATCTACAAATTAAGGGCTTAACTGATCGTAGTTCGTTGGCACAACGATGTTATTGTCTTGGATGACAAAATAATTGAGTGATGAAAATTATGCCAGATTGGGGACGTTGTTAGTTGCAAACCGTATAAATTAAAATCCAAAGATTACCCTTGAACTCTTGGTGTCCTTAGTCGATATTTCCTTGCCATTTGAAAGGTAATGAATCAATTTTCCATATAAATAATATTTTTACAGTCTCCAAACTCAAGCGGACTTGGACGGTCATGCGTGACATACAAAATTTGCATTGGGACTGTTAAACGAACTAGCATTACGATAGATGACTAATGAGATAGATGACAAACAGTAATCGAATTTGAAATTCCAAGGATGAAAATCAACTTAAGTTCGTCCGCGTTTGTAGCTGAATCAATCATTAAAAGAAGATAGCGAAGAGATTAAGAATTTATACATTAACGCTAGAAACTGATAAAGCAATTTTTTTTTAGCAAATAGCCAAAAGCTTGGTAAGAGAGAAAATTAATATAGACTACGTGAATGTTGAAAATTTGTCAGGTATTCCAGGTTAGAAAATGCAAAGAGACCGCCATAAAGTAAAGCAAAAAACGATGGACAAAGATTGGCTGGGGGAAGATTATACGGCAGCAAATGACGAGCTTAAAAATGTTTCGCATACGTTTTTCAAAACCTGGCGAAGAATGAATTTGTAATGATGCAAAAGAAGAATGAATTTGTAATGATACAAAAAGAAGAGGGACATTTTTAAAATATAAATCTAGGTAAAAGAACTTACCAAGCCACAAGTTGCAATAAGTGGAACGGATATTCTTAAAATGCTGCCGTACGGAAACTTTCCCATTGTTGGTAAATCGAAATCACTCTTCCAAATGTCAAACTTATCTGAGGTGTAAACGCGGTGTCTGAATATTAATATACTTCTCCACTTTTAAGTTCCGATTCCTAATTCTCCTTTCTGACCCTCATAAATTTCTTCTTGAGGCACTTGAGAGAATCTGTTTTCTATCGAGACAGTATTTCATGACCTAGACCTATGGACATTGTTTATGAGTAAGTGAACCCATATATATATTGTTTTTCCTATTTTTTTTTTTAAGTCAAAAGGTTAAGAAAGTGACTCACGTTTTTAGCTTGCGGTTAAGCACGTTTTAGTGGAACAATCGTGCCGCCATCGGTGTACAATCAAATATCTATAGGCGCTCTGCGTAAAAACGTGTAGATTTGAACGCGTGTGATTTTATTTCTCATGGGTATTTAAATTTAACGCCATCCAAAGATATAGGTGGACAATTCCACAGTCGTGGACAGAAAGACATGATATTCAACACGTTTATCGATTATCCTATGATTTCCAAAACATTCTTGATTAGGAAAGTTCCAGTGGTTTCGACAGGAATTCGTGATGTCTATTTATAGAAACTCGACTTGTTTACCGTAAAATTCTATGATGTAATGTTACTGAATATAGTCGTGTTGTAAACCTGTAGAATCTTCTAGAAAGATTGTAAGGAACTCTATAAGAAGGTGCGGTAGGTTGTTGTTTGTTTACTTTTTACTTTCTCTGAACAGGCTCATTCCTACTCTACTCGTTTCTCAGTAGCTGGAAGCTTTTATATAAAACAGGCGAGAACAAATCATCAGTTGTTTTCCTTCTCTAGAGTTGGTGCGAAAATATGGAATGGCATCCCCCTGAGATTCGTAAGCTAAGGAAAGCACCTTTTAAACGTGAGCTAACCTACTTGCTTTTGAAAATTCTTGAAATTGAGGAGATGAATGTTGACTTGCGCTACCTTGACCTTTCTAGCTTATATTTGTATTTCAACTGATTAGCTTTCTCTTTGACCTGTTAAAAACTCCCTTGTGTGACTGGCTCAGTTAAAACCTTTAACATGATTATCACTACTATTATTTATTATTTATTTTTATTTGCTCATTTATTTATTTATTTCATTGTTGCGTGTGTGTGTGTGTGTGTGTGTGTGTGTGTGTGTGTGTGTGTGCGTGTGCGTGTGTGTGTGTGTTTATGTGTGAGAGCCTGTACAGTGTCTGTTTAAGTAGCCCGCCCAGAATAGCTTTGCTAACTGCGGGCTACAAAAGCCTTTATTTCTTTAATTTTAAAAAAGTAAAGTCAATGTTGTTGTTGTTGTTGTTGTTGAGGAAAAAGAAGAAAAAGAAGAGAAAAAGATAAAGGAAATAAAGGAGTTAGCGAAGAAAATTCAACTCAAAGTTTATCATCACGAAACCAAGTCGTGCCAATATTGCTGCACAACAGCTTGTTAAGAATACACGCCAGTACAGAAGAATGCAGAAGAGCGAGAGAGTAACTTTTGTTCGCCTCAACTGCGCCTTCTACCGCCGTGAAGTCTAATCAGATAAAAATTTCCTTATGCTTTGTTAGATGGTTTTTTTTGTCTGTTTGTTTTTGGAAAAGACAAAGTAAATTATAATTTTGTGTTTCGCAATTGTAGAACAACATTCTCAAGATCTAAGGACTTTGGGACTTTGATGGGAGGGTTAATGAAACTATAATCGAGATTAAGGCGTGACGAATTCAGCTAAATTATTTCGTACAGTTGGCGCAAATTTGCGTTTGGGGTTTTTTTTTTTGAGAATTATATAATTATAGGTTCACATTAGTTTCTAATGACTATATTTTTCAAACATAAAGCTTTTAAATAGCTAATAACGTTCTTATACGGTTCCCTCAGACAAGCTTGAGAACTTTGAAGCTATCTTTAGAGCCCACAAATGTTCTGTAGCTCAAATATCACTGCAACATTTCAAATGATAAGCTTGTCTGGAGTGGAAACTTTTCTTTCTATTCTTTGGGTAACATCTACTCCAACACTGTCTTAAATCTTTTTTTTTTTTAATTCAAACTAGCCCAAATGACATCTGGATACGTTTTCTCTATTTTATTTTTTTTATACATAACTCTTACTCTTGCATTCGGGTTAGTCTCATTTATGTCAGGCCTTTTTGTCTCTAAAAACAACTTAAGTTACAACCACAAGCACACGTTTTTGTCGGAGACTCAATTTGGTGAATCAAACATCAAAAGTATGAAAGGGGCAGCATTTGTTCTCCCTGTAGAAGAGAAAAAAAGAGGATTAAAAAAAGGGGTTATGAGATATTTGATTCTCATGCAAGAGAAGAATATGGTAGAAGCCATCCCTCAGGTACATGTGTACTATTAGAAGTACCATCTGCTCAGGGCTTAGTACAGTATTTCCAGACTATACACTCCCTCAGTGACAATTATGAACTCAGAGGAGTGCAGATAAGTACATATGAAATAACTGCAGCGAACAGTTTGAGAGAAGAACACAACTGCTCTTGAAAACAATCCATTGCTGTAGGGCTTTATGCAATGTGTTACTAAGTAACAAAGTCTTGTAGTTATTAGAATTCCAGAACCCTATGTTGCATAGCTGACCAAGGAAATAAATTATATCGTAACATGGGCATCAACAGGCATCTAAAAAGGCCTTACACACGAGTCTTAATATCTGTGGAGTTGAGATATCAGTCCAAATTAAAGCTCAAAGCTATGGGATGTTTTCCAGTGCTTTAAACTATAAAAAAAGTTGGAAAACTTAATTTTCAACAACTACAAGGGAAATACAGGGTTTTTATAGTGGCTTGTAAGTTACTGTTAGGTATTACTTGTACTTTTCAACAAACAGTCAGAGCAAAGTACATGTTCTCCTTATTGACCTATGAAGATACTTGTGAACTTGCAAAACAACAAATGAAAATAAGTGGCAAACCATCATTAGAACAAGCTATTTCTAACATTAATATTGTCACAAAGAAACTTAATTAAACAGGTATTTGTTCACTATGAAATACAATTTTTGTCTTGCTCGACTAACACGGACCTTCATCAAATCAAACACATGCAAAAGCACAGACGAAAATATAATTATGATAATTTGGAACCCGCTCCAAAAATGAAAAGACTGCTACAGATAAATTTTAGAAACAAAAGCAAATCCAAAGTTAGATAACAGCACGAGAGTGAGACAATCCCAACTATTGATATCTGCATTAATTAATTTAAGGAGAAAATCAGAGAAGGTCCTTATTAGGTATATAATTGTACAGTCAATTGAGTATAAATAGTGATTATTGCTTAGTTTATTACTTTTTATGTTCCTTTTTCCCTCTTTGTAAATCTTAAATATAGTATGCTAGCTTTTAATAAATATTTTCCTCATGAAATCATGTGGTAGTGACCATCTCAAAAGCAATTGCTACTGTGGTCACTACACACTTCTCCCTTCCCTACAATATGTAAAACTCTGTTCTCTCTATTTTCTCCTTTTATTTTATCTCACTTGTAGTTAATGATATAAATAGACAAAATAAAGATGATGATGATGATGAGGTATGCTATGCATACAATGTTTTCATGATAAAATATACCTCCTTGCATTCAGACCGTTATGATTACAATTACATAATATATCTTTTTAACACGTGTATGAATTGGCATGTATTTATCACCCTTGGGAAGGGGGGACTCCTTAAATAAAAGGGACTGGGGTGCTCATTGTACCTTTTAGGGGTTAAAAAAGGTGGGTTTGGTACCTCTTAGGCTATTCAGCCTCAAAAGGTCCACAGAAGCAGCTTCTGTGATACCTTTTAGGGCATTGTACCAGAAATATATGAGAGTGCATTGTTGTAGAATTGGTGTCCCTCAGAGGTGAAAAAAAAAATTATGCCACGCCCACAAACCAGGACCTTGGTACCTCCTTAATATTTCTTTTAGAACCACTGTGCACCACACGAATGGTCAACACTCATAACAGCACGTCTCCCTGTAGCCCGACTTACGATCTTGGATCGTCTTGTTGAAAATTACTTGCTAGCTACGTATGGGCTAGCCAATGGGCGCATTGGTTAACATTGTCCAATAATGTGTTACATACAAAGAATCTTAAACTATGATACATAATCATACAAGGGAATGACAACATAAAGAAAAATGCTGAAGCAATAAGAAATGACTTAAAACTATTTTCAAGGCCACTTTCACTTTTACTTAGATTATCTTAATTAGAATGTTAATCATGCCCAGTCCTTTTTCAGGTATCTCAAAGCAAGAAAAAATGACAACAACGACCGGCGAGCTCTTGTGTCATTAGGGAGCTTACGAATCGATGACTTTCCAGAGGACGACGATGTCTCAACACTCGAAGTAGTTTATGCGCATGCGCTACCGGATGTGGCATTATTTCGCGCGTCGTCTTGAAGGAGGCGACGACTTCAGAAGAGCTGTTTTGAAGTCGTCTTCGCAGCCACGCGTCGAAACGTGCGTTTTGTTCGGAATATTTCCTGAATCTAACGCCTAATCCCCAAACACCTTCCAAATATACTAACGGGAGCTTTCCTGAAACAGTTTTTTGCCTCTTGAATGTTATTTACAATTACAATTTATCACTTATAGAGCGCTATTTACAATGACAGATCAACAGCGCTTTACAATCAATCCTAACCCGCCCATCCCACCCCAGGGGAGGACATCCATCACACAGTAATCTCGTGCGTGGGAAATTAACGTCTCCTACCCCTAACCCTGTAGGAGACGGGACCTCCATTTATTCGTCCCTATCCGAGAAGACTGGAATATCTAACCATTTCTTGATGTTATAGAAAGGAAGCATATTCTTCTCAATTATTTTAAGACCTTGAGTGTTGGTCCCGCCGGGGCTCGAACCCTCGACCTCCCGCACAACAGTCCAGCGCTCTATCCATTGAGCTAACCGCGAAGCGGTTATTTCCGTCATAGTTCTTGTTTATCAAAATAGAAAGAGGTCAAACGGCGAAAACAATGACCCAAGCCCTTCAAAAGCACAACGAGGGAATAAATAAAAAAGGAAATTGGCGTTTTAAGGTCAATTCAGATACCAAGAGAGATAAACTGTGAAAGAAACTAGTCTTCTTCATTCAAAAGTTTTAAGTATTTATCCATTCATTCGCTCTAAATCAGTTTTGAATAGTAATCAAATGTTCTTTAAACGGTTTCGACTAGTCACAAGATGCAAAACATGCAAGCGATGCGAAGATTCAATCAGATATACTGAAAGATTTTGTCAAGGAATCGATCCAACTACTAGGCCGTTGTAAGATACAATCTCTCCGGTAACTGAAGAAAATCAGCAAGCCCAAAAATCATGAATGTCATTTTGTAAAATCGGAATTCAACTTTCTACTGGTCATTTCCCAGCTCGTCTAAATCGAATCGATCATACTTCTCGTACCGAAAGTCCGGGTTTTTTGAAGTATTGGCATCATACAGCAAAATAAACTGCCTGTCGGTGGTAAATCCTTTTCTGTAGGCATATGCGATATAGTCTCTGTTTTCTCTGAAGTTCGGCATTTTAATCAACACGTTAATAAAACTATGGAATGCACTACCCCTTGATATAAGGAATAGCGGATCGATTACTCTTTTTAAATGTAAATTAAAGACTTTTCTTTTTAAGAAATATTATTTATAATTAATTGTAGAATTGTGAAGCGCCAAAGAGCAGTTAGTGTATATGGCGCTATGTAAATGCCATAATTATTATTATTATTTATTATAACTATCTAAACAAAAAAAAGGTCAGTCTGCGACTTATATTTGGCGGGAAATCTCTGCGTCGACGTCCGCAGCTCTTAAGTTAAATTTGGCGCGCAATGGTAAACAGCGACGACGAAGTCGATGACGTCATGTAAAGTCGTCGTCGAGAAAGAAGTCATCGATTCGTAAGTTCCCTATTAACAGCCTATCATGACGTCACTCAGAGCCTACGTACGTCACAATAGCTTTGGCGGGTACTGTTTCTTGAAAAGAATTCCCATCCTGTGACGTCACAGCTGTCATGCCTGGATCTGTGTAAGTGGGAGTATACCCGGCGCCATCTTGTGACGTCATGGTATTTCTGCCCTGTGCTGCGTGTGAAGGAAGATATCCAGCGTCATCGTATGACGACAGAGCAATCTTACCACTCATTGGATGATGAGGAGGGTATCCTACGTCAGTGTATGACGTCACAGCTGTCTTGGCTGGTACTGGATATGGAGGAGGGTACACATAGCCAGCCTGTGGCGTCATGGTATTCTTGTCCGGTACTGCGCATGCGGAAGGATATCCTACGCCAATGTATGACGTCACAGGGGTCTTGGTTGGTGGTGCGCATGGGCGAAGATATCCCAAACCAACCTGCAAATCAAGGCAAAAATAAAAACAAAGTAATTGTAATTATTTTTTTCTCAGCTCGTGAGCGGGCGGTATTCTACGAATCCTGCAATCTGATTGGTTCCGAAAGCGGGCAGTATTCTCATCCGGCCCGCTCACGGAGGGCGGGGGGTATCCGTTTCGCTTGAGTCACTTTGCAATGCATCTCAAGCTTCGTTGCAATTTTTCACAAATATATCTCATTTTGCCAGCTGAGCAGAATTTTTGAGCAAAGACTTCGGTCACGACCGTTTTGGCGATAAATTATACTAACTCTTTCTTCTCTCTCGCTCTCAAATCACTTTGGTTTTTCGGCAAATAGTAAGTCAGAAAGTTAAAACGAGAGGTAATTGCAGTTAACGATTACGTTAATAAATATGACTCTCAATCGTTAATATCTGAATTCTTCAACACAATTTGTTCGTTTGTAAAACGTTGAGCGAAGTTTTGAGTTCTTCTATGAATACACTTTCGCCTATTCTTTGCAAGTCCCTTGAATTTGGATATTTTTACGGTAAATTTCACAACAGTAACCGAAGGAATTCGATGAACAAAAGTCGCATTAAATCCCCTTGTGTCTAGTTGGAAAGAGTCTCATTGACTGCAGCTTTTCGGTGAAAGAAAAACCGATCTACACACACCATTACAGAAAACAAAAAAGCAGACTGACAACTATAAAGCACTCATTTGCATTCACATACAATTTGACTTTCCGTGACATTTTAAAACGGAACAGAGGTAAATCTTCGAAGATTAATCGTCGTTGGAAATAAACAATACTTTTTCGTAAGATCTCTGGGTGTTTTTCGTTTATGAGAAGATCGTCGCATAGTCATTTCACTCGAGCGTGTTGATCATACCAGTACTGTTGTTGATCCAAAGCCGTTCGCTTTTTTCCTCTTCAATTGACAAGCGTCACATCATAACAGTTACTTATCAAAAAATGTTTCAAAGCTTTCCCGGAAGCCTTTTGAGTTAACTTTACAAATAAAAATGTTTCGGTGAAAGCTTTCTCCTTAACTTGGATAACGTCTGTTTCTTTAATTTATCATCCACTCGCTAACAAATTGTTAAGTTTATGGAGGATTTTCCCGTAATTAAACTCGTAACTGTCGCCCTAATAGCTCATTCGGGTTCTTATGGCAATCATTTTTTTATGTGTTAGAAAAAAATAAAAATGTTATTGTCCAGCATAGGTCGGTCCGTATTGGGAAAAACTGTGCCCTCTGTCTTGGATACCGCCCACGGCCTACGGCCTCAGGCGGTACCCAAGACAGAGGGCACAGTTTTTCCCAATACGGACCTACGGCTGGTCGATAACATATATATCTTACTACAAAACAGTCCATTTGATATTCAAGCTGTGTACTTCATATTGTCATTAGCGGAAATCTTTTTCAGTTAAGGTCTTGTATAGAAATAACGAAAATGTGGTTACCATTTGAGTCTGGTACACTGGTGCTGTAGGAAACCCTGCGCTAGTCCCAGATGGATCCTCACGGAGAGCCTCTATATACGAATGAACCACAATCATGAAATAGATCTGGAATACGAGATACAAGAAATGAATAAAATAGGAAAAGAACATGAATAATGAAAGTTAAACATAATAATTATAAGTCCATGTTTACTAGTTGCAGCTAATGTACATTAGTTATTTAATAAATCATTTTTTCTTTTGAAGGATGAATGCGATTTTGTCCGTTTCATGTCAGTCATAAATGTTTGTTATTGGCCACTTTATTCTGTTCAGTATCACAATTAAAGTAAGCAGTCAGAGAGTTTCGATGAATCTTTAACAAAAGATATAAAGCTCATCACTAAGAAAGCAAGGCAAAGGTCCTTAGCCTGAGAAGGGAAGAATTCGTTTGGATGATTTCCTCAGCAAAAGTTATCGAGAAAATTGAAATTAAAAAAAGGAACAATTATTATTATTTATGCATAGGCACATGATGAGTGATAAAAATAATAAATAAAAAGGAAAATAAAAATGCGAAGTGACTCTTAACTTACCGATAGCACCCACCAAAGGATTACCACAATAGTCTCGTATTGGAACTGTAAAGCGTAACACGAAGAAATGTTGTCAGTTTACTCTGTGATACCGATATAAATCGACGGTCGGCTCAATGTAGAATATTTCCACTGGTAATCTTATGACTGAAATTGACCGAAAAAGTACATTTCATAGATATTAATTCACGGGTCAAAAATGTGTAACAGTGAAGGAAAATTGTGCTGTGAGAGTGTTATAAATAAATGTTACTTTCTTTTCTGATTAGTTTAGAAACAAAGGAAATCAACTGGAGCTAATCGCTGCTGACGAACTAGCAACGGCAAAAATTTAGAGAGAGCAGAAAAGTTTGAAAAAACCTGAACATTTGAAAAAAAAAAATTATGAAGACAAGGTGCCATCTATGCTTGAGTTCAGTGGGGTTCTTATTTACTTACAGAAGTAAGAGCGATTTTCTAAATTAAGATTGAGGAATCTAATACTAATATAAACATCCAAGATCTCCGGCTTGAAGAGTTTAAACATGCATGCTTTTCGTATACAACTTTTGGCTAGTCTTAGCTTCAAATGTTTTTGTCGTTTTAACATACGAATTTTTTACCGGTACGGTTACTTTGTCACTGTTGTCAAAAATTGCACTCTGAGTCACGTGAAAATGTTATTAAACCCCGCGCTGGACACTTCAAGTATTTTATGTGAAGATAATAATTTCTTGTTTTGGCCATTTGTACTCACCACAAGGTAGATAGACAGAAGGAAACCTGTCACTACAACAGAGCATGCAAAATCAAGAATGCTCCACACCAGCCACACCACAGCCAAATAAAGGTTTTTCTGCAACAAGGGAGACAAATTTCGCATTTATACTAAAACACAAACAGCAACAACAACAACAGCAATGAAGAGATATCAGGATCTTGCCGGAAAGATATGGACCGAGTAAATAAGTACGGCGTGAGTGCACAAATTAGGCCGAAATGGAAAATCATAGGAGACATTTGACAGAGGCGGAATGCCGGGCAAGGACTTCGCTCGAAAGTGATCAATTTTGAGAGCCAGAGGGGGTGGGTGGCAGACCATATTTATTGAGGGGTGGTAGAGAAAATGCCCTGACTAAAAAAATATGATACTGGTGAACATGCACATCAACTCCTGTTTCACTTTTAACGAACCTGTGGGATCAATTCGGAAAAAAAACCTTGTGAATGTGTTCAGTTCAAACTGTGCTCTCGAGAAGAAACATTCGATGAGGTCAGCCGTGTGTCTCAGTATAAATTTTAGAGAAGGCATGCGAAAATTATGCACTTTATAGTACAAAACTTAATGCCATCTCGATTTTTCTTTACTTACCGTGCCAGTGGATACCAACAATGACACGTTGCACAGCAATGAAATCACTTTGAAAGCCAGGGTTACATAGGCCAATATGACGATCGCTTTGAAGGAAAGAGAGAGAGAGAGAGAAGAAAGACAACAGAAATCAACATCAAGACAAATCAAGAAAATGATCGATTACGCACACCCAAAACAGCCTAAAGCACGTTGATTGGCAGACGAATAACAAATCCATATCATTCCTTCAAAATAAACTTTTGCAAAACACACTTTATTTTAAACAACTTCTTCCTTGGAGAATTGACGAAGAAAGATGGAATCCAAATTTAAAAATTCGAATTTAAAACTCGAATTAAGGTGCTTGCTGATATTTTAAAAAACGCGTTTGGCGACCAGTTTATTTTCATAATGGAATGAAAGGGGGTCTTGGAACGTTATTTTATCCCGTATTTTATTCATATTTTTTAAACAAGGAAAGAGAAATGAGAATACCTGGGATGTGCTTCTTGTCTACAGGGAGATATCCTTCGTAATTGTCCCAGTCGATGTTAGCTTGGTTGTATTTCATGAGAGCTTGACTTTTGTTACTAATTACGATTGCTTGGAGGATCTGAAATTAAAATAATTACAGGCTAGGTATGGATTAAAAAATACCTTTGAGGGTTCTTCAGGCTTGTTTGACTCGCTCGTTGGTTCTTGCCATTCAATAAGAACTATAATGCTTGACTTGAAGTTTCGCGACTCAGTTGAGTTTTGTTGTTCGAAAAATATTGGACTTAAGTCTTAATAATTCGGTGCAAATTAGACGAAATAACATCATTATGCTGAATAGACTAACACTGCTTGGAAAGAAACATCTAGAAAAACGTTGTAGCGTAAGCCAGCAACACAACGTGAATTAGCGAACGAAAACTGTCAATATTATTTGAACGTGCATATTCATAGTAGCTTGGGGTCACGCGGGTTATCACGTACGACTTAGGATAATTAATTTAGAGCACGTGGTTTAATAAATTCGCTCTAACGAAAGGCTAACGCTCGAAACGTCAGCGTTTAAACCTTTACTGGGGCCAATTTACATTATCGACTCAGTTGATAAAGCCAAATTATCTTCAATGAATAGGCTCGGCTTGTAAGTTTCTATTTCAGTAGCACCTGTGCTATAAGGGAAATTGTTTATTAATGCGTGACATAGGCAATCTGTTTTGGTCCGAGATATTCTAATGTGCGAAATGAATTCTTCTTTTGTTAAAAAACCCTGCGAATTGTATACTATTTCCCCATATATCTGAAGATATATACATTACACTCCCTTCTATAACTTGCAGACGTCTATGATCTCTTAGTTGCCTGATTACATGAGCCGGGCTGGCCCTGTTAGCCGGGCTGATTTCTTTTGTTTTGGTGTTCGCTAAAGCGTGAAAACAAAAGAAATCAGCCCGGCTAACCAGGCCAGCTCTGCTCATGTAATCAAGCCCTTAGTGATTATGTGCGTGCAATAATCATTCAAATATCTCTGTATTAATTTTTCTTAATTTATTTGTACTTTCACTGAAGTGGCGTTAGCATTGTGGCTTTCGTTTTTTTCGGTTTTCGCTACTTTTAAGTTTAAAATTTGGTCCTTATTTTTGCTTTCAAATCCTGAGGGTGGTCTAAAGGAGCATTTTTCTCTATTTTCCTTCCTTTTTACCAATGAATTATCGCGCATAATTCTCGAATGTTTGAAACATTGTCGTCTTCAAAAAGAAATCCGCGATCCTCACCAAGAGTGTAGTGATACAAAGAAATATCGATGACCGTGTATTTAACCTTTTTAAAAAATATCATAACTGAGCTGAAATGGTAGCTTTTAACTTGTACTTACCAGACCGAAGATTCCAATAAGCAGAGTGCCAATGCGTAAATTGCAACCGCAGCAACATGTTTTCACTAAAACTGCCATTGTTGATAAGTCGAAATATCTCTTCTTAACGCCAACTCAATTAAAATACACGGGAAACTGCTGGTAGCTTTAAATAATCTCCCCCTCAAGATCCGATCGCAAATTCTCCTTGATGACCTTGATGTCTAGACGGATCGACCTTGTCGATCTATCTCTATCTTCTCGACTCCTGTTTATTGACATTGTATTGAGTTCAGAAGAAGAATTTGCATTCGAATCCCTATGGCTCTCAAAAGGTTAACTGCATGAGACACGTTTCGGTTTTCAGTCAGGCACGTCTGAAGAAATAATACGCGAATACGTGTACATGCCGGGCGGCAAGGTCAATACAGACGAAGTCGATGCGTGCGTTATTTCATGCTGACCAAAACGAATTTTGATGTTGCGTCAGTTTTCAATGCATGGAAAAATCGGACTTTTCCATCGCTGTGCTACTGTGAGTTCTAATAAGTACAACCGATAGCCTGCAATTTTCAACGGATGTAAATTTGAAGTTGAATTTTAAGGAGTTGTTTTTGTGTTATTAGCTCGGTTGTTGTTCGGTAGTTTTGAATTAATGTAAATCGGGATTAGTTTTTCGTTTCTTTTACTATTTTTCAATCAGACAGGAATGTTTTTTCCAGTATAGTGGTTCAACAATGCCGTGGTGAGTCTATGATCTAAGTCGATGGAAATATGAAGTCCATATTAATGCAGCTAAAATGAAAGGACTCAAAGTATTCTCCGTTTTTAATGTAGGTGACTTTACATGGGTGTACGCAGGATGAAGCAACCAAAATAAGGAAACTTCTCAAGACTCCTTTTGTGTTTTCTTTTGATTTCCTTTCAAATTTTTTGTTAAACAACAACAAACATATGAAACATATGTGTGAACTGCGGTTATGAGACGTATATGAGCACGATCCTTCGCAGTAAAGCACTATTTGAGCAATAGTGAAAATCGGACCTGAAAAAAATTTCAGGCCTGTACGGGATTCGAACCACTGACCTCTGCGATACTAGTGCAGCGCTCTACCAATTGAGCTAACAAGCCAACTGGGAGCAGGCCATCAAATTAATTCGACATAAACCCGTAGATGATAAATCAAACAACAACAAACATATGAAACATATGTGTGAACTGCGGTTATGAGACGTATATGAGCACGATCCTTCGCAGTAAAGCACTATTTGAGCAATAGTGAAAATCAGACCTGAAAAAAATTTCAGGCCTGTACGGGATTCGAACCACTGACCTCTGCGATACTAGTGCAGCGCTCTACCAATTGAGCTAACAAGCCAACTGGGAGCAGGCCATCAAATTAATTCGACATAAACCCGTAGATGATAAATCAAACAACAACAAACATATGAAACATATGTGTGAACTGCGGTTATGAGACGTATATGAGCACGATCCTTCGCAGTAAAGCACTATTTGAGCAATAGTGAAAATCGGACCTGAAAAAAATTTCAGGCCTGTACGGGATTCGAACCACTGACCTCTGCGATACTAGTGCAGCGCTCTACCAATTGAGCTAACAAGCCAACTGGGAGCAGGCCATCAAATTAATTCGACATAAACCCGTAGATGATAAATCAAACAACAACAAACATATGAAACATATGTGTGAACTGCGGTTATGAGACGTATATGAGCACGATCCTTCGCAGTAAAGCACTATTTGAGCAATAGTGAAAATCAGACCTGAAAAAAATTTCAGGCCTGTACGGGATTCGAACCACTGACCTCTGCGATACTAGTGCAGCGCTGGAGTTTGATGTGTACTTCCAGTGCAGACGATTTGCGTCCCCTCATGAGGGTGTACTTTTTTTAAATTACGGGTACAATCTAGCATCAAACTCCCTCAAACTCATTGTTTACTTTTTTTTAAGGATAGTAAATATTTCGGAAGACTTCCTTCTATTTTTGAACTAGGAAATTTTTTTGACAAGACATTTCAACATTTCGGAAGACAGTTTTCGTTATTTAGCAAATATTTTTTTTGCAATTTTGGTTATTTAGCAAATAACCACATTAATGTTTTGGTTATTTGTTTTTTTACCAATGTCTCCTTTTGGTTATTTATAAATAACCAATGTCTCGTTTTGGTTTTTTTTAAATAACCAATGTCTCGTTTTGGTTATTTATAAATAACCAATGTCTCGTTTTTTTTTTTTATAAATAACCAAACTGCAATGTGGTTATTTACATATAACCATACTTGTTTTTTTTATATACAAATAACCACTCTAAATAATAAAAATACATTTGGCGCCCCAAACGTAGTGTGTGCCTCATATGGCGACTTGAACGCCGTTGGAGCACATTATATTCTAACCGTTAAAAGGAAGCGATGACTACACGTTCTGTTCAAAATCATTATAAATTGTTATCTAAGTGACTGGAAAAATAGGAAAACACTCGAACTTGTTTTACAACGAACGAGAAATTCAGCACGTGTATCAAATACCATTTGCCATTTAGCGCCCTACCACTTTTAGCATCATTGACACTATACTAGCTTTAGATTTCACCATCTCTACGTGCGATCATGTTCGACTTTTCTGGCTGCGATTGAAAATATTCCCATTGTAATGATGATAGATAATGCACCTTGTTCTCTTTTAAAGGATCTTTTCTGAATGCAGGCAATGATTTTAGTTGGGGAGGGTAGGAACGGAATGATATTGGTTCATAAACCAAAATCTTGATTTTATTCTTGCTCCACTTCGTGAATCCTTCGCAGTGTTTACTGTCCAAATGAGAAACCTAGAAATATTAATAGCTAATGATCTCACCTTATAGATACAAGTTACAATTAGAGATGGGACAGACAGAACTTGGACAAACTTTTTTTTTGGGCTTGCTATAGACCTCAACAAATCAGTACTTAGTGATAAAGTGACTTACTGGTGAAAAATAAAGCTGAGAGAACAGTGACAAGCTAATAAAATAATATGTACTAATTGGCTAAGCTGAAGGCTCAAACTCCTGGAAAATATTTGGCTCCTGATTATAACCTTTTTTTTCTGTCTGGCAAAGCAGGGACGTAGAGGGAGGTTTTGTTATAACTTTGTGTTACTGGCTTTTCCATATGTTAAAGGAATGATGCAAATATCATTAGCACCTTCGGTCCATTTGAACCTGTGACAAAGGTTGCTGGGATGCAACGAAAATAATGAAAGCAGCTGTATTGATCAAGTTTTCAAACCTTCTATTAAGGTAATGATAATTGTTAAGAGAGGTGCCTAAATCCTGAATCATTTTTCACACTAAAAAGGAAATAAAAACTAAAATTAAAATGTTAATTGCTTTTAATGGATATTGATAGGTCTCCTACCGAAATTGTCTCCTTTAATCAATGTTTTTCCAAAGCTTTTAACTGTCGGCAATGTGGGGGCAATTATCCATAATCAAAGCACAAGCACCTACCCTTAATCGATAATCACTTTACTTAAAGTAGTTTTCCATGTCCTCGAAAATTGGAGACATCAAACACGGGCGAATTTCCAAACTACAAAGCACGGCTTATTGTTTTTTTTTCAAAATAAAACTTGAATGTTTAAACTCAAATCAGCAGTTTTCATGTCGTTATGTTTGCTTGCCGTCTCTTATCTGCCTACGTTGCTAAACATTATTATCCTTTGTGGAGGAGTGATAATTACACCGCAAAAAACCCTATTATCTATGTTATTTAATTGAAGACTGGAATTTTACGGCAAGATTTGTTAATAAGCTCTTTTACTTCGTTGGTGAGTAATGCCACGTGTGGTATTATTGACGTCGATCAAATCATCCATCAAATTTTCCAACTATCTTAAATGACATGAAACTACCGCTCATCCCTCATTCAGTGACTTTATCCTGATCCAACTGTACGAATCACCTCCACGTCAGTGGAAATCACGAAAGACGAGGGAGAAAGCTAAAACAAGAGTAACATGTTGGCAACGAAAGATATCTTCGTGTTCCTAATATTAGCTGTATCAACACAGGGTAAGAGGGACTTTTTGCAGTCACTGACAGGCACTGCCAGCTTTTTCTTAATTGATCTCTCGTATTTGTGGTTGCTATTTGTGTTCTGAGATGATGCTCATTTCCCAAAATTTAAAGATTCTTTGCAAAAATGACAATTTACACGGTCTAACAAAGGTGTACATTTTTTATCTACTTAAAAGGCACACTTTGGAATCAGGTCATACTAGTAGTAACGTTATTGCAAAAGCATATCCATTTTAGTTTGTGCAAATATGATAGACTGATTTTCAAGCTGAGTTCATTTAGGCGTTTCCGCACGCTTCCCGATCAAACTGGGCAAATCTTTCACATTACCTACTCAGAAGTTCCAAATCTGCTAATTTACGTGCGCAGTGTGTTCCTAAAATGTTTCTCGGAATTTTTTTCTAAAACCTCAGCGCGGACAACATGTTACATGCATTTTCAACCATTTTTTTCTTCTTCCTTATTGGTCTTCATTTCTATCAAACGACGATGTATTTATTGGTTTTTTTATAAGTTCAAAATACGACAACCAGGATTTTGCGTATATATATATATATATTTTTTTTTATAATCGCTCATTTTCTAACAGAGGCTATCCGAATTTCAAGTGGCAACCTTTTTTTGAGCGCTTTATTGATTGTTTTGTAGTTACTAATCAGTTGTTACTTACCTTTTTTTTTTACCTTTTTACTTACCTTGTAGTTACTTACCTTTCATATTCTTGTGAAATTTTTTTTATCGAAGCCAAGAAAGTACTACTTAACGCCATATAAACCATGTAAGTGAATTTTTTTCTCCAACTAACTTCTACTTTCAACACACTACTGCGAAAACTTCAAAACTATTTTTTTCTACGACCTACGAAAATTTTTTTTTTTTTAAATTTTTAGTTTTTGTTTGTCATCAACTGACGAGGTCGTAGACGAAACTAGTTTTGAAGTTTTCGCAGTAGTGTGTTGAAAGTAGAAGTTAGTTGGAGTGTTTTTTTCACTTACATGGTTTATATGGCGTCTTTCATATTCAGATGCCCTTCAGACAAATTTAATTTGAATTACTTAAAAAATCTGAACTATTTTTTTGAGA